GAGCTCTTGCTTCATGAGATCAGACGATCGTGACTGCTGTAGTTTTTCCAGTTGCGTTATTTTTTGGTATTTATCTTCAGGAAATCACTGAAGGCATACATTATGTTATCATATTGATCTAATTTACACCCTGGCCATATTCATCTATGTAAACACAAGAAAACAACATTAACATTATGGCAGAGTGTAAAAAGCTCATTCCAGCTACTAGACTTTTCTTTTTTTTTTTTGTAGTAATTTTTTCAGGGTTTTCACCTTTATTTTTAAAAGGACAGTAGAGAGAATTGACAGGAAAGCATGGGGAGCAGAGAGGAAAAGGATTGGCACAGGACCACGAGGCGGAATCAAACCCGGGTCGCCGCACTAACCACTATACCACTGGCGCCGACAACATTTCTGACAGGAGATTGGAGTCTCATCGAGTGACAGAATGTTGTGGGACTACTATATTATTATTAGGGATAAAGATAGCAAAATTTTGCGGTTTTTATTTTTGCGTTTTTTTTAAGCATGTCGGTAAAACACAAACACCATTACTAATGTATTAACGCATAGGCTGGTTTGTTTTAAAATTCGTAATGACAAAAAATCCCAATTTTTGCATCTCCTTATTTCCGTGTGCAGCCATGCTGCCGGTGTAGCTGGAGTGTTCTGGGAAATTTTCTTACCCCTTGGTTTTGAGTGGGGTCCTGAAAAATCTCTTTCCAGAGGTATCTAGCTCTTCCACTTAGTCCTACGCCTTCAAGCTAACAAGGATTGGGACACTGCTAACTCTTCACGTGAATGCACAAATGAGGGGTGGGGGTTAAAGGAAGGGCTAAGGAGTAGAATTTGGATTGGGCCTGAATGTCAAGCTGCTGTCAAGCATGCTCATTTCTAAGAAAAATCTTTTACTATCATTAGTATTAATGTGTAGTGTCTTGCTACCAAATCAGGTGTTGATGCCTCAGTTAGTAGTATTTGGTTGCACCAATTTTTAAAAGTAGTTCTGGACCCTTAATTGTTAAACACAAAAATATTGGGTGAACAGATTTTCCAAGTAGGAGCATTGAAACTTTTCTTTTTTGTTCTTAGTCTTACGAGTTTAGAACAACATGAAGGAATAAATTACAAATTTTGTAATAAATAACAGATTTTGGATTAACAAGATCTGTAATTTATAGCTTCAGAATGCATAAAAACTAGAAGAACCACACTTTATATGTATGAATTCCTATGACTACTAATGAGACCAAAGTGTCAGATTTGTCTGAAAACTCAAACATTTCAAAGCATCTAGACTATTTGATCCACGCTAATCGCCTTACTGTATGGAATTAACTCGTTTTACTTCCCCAAAGAAATCGTAGAAGAAATATCGGTGATAGAATTCATACTATAAGCTAAGAAAGAGCAGCCTGTGAGAAATTAAAGACAGAAACCCAGAGAGGGAGAGGGAGAGGGAGAGAGAGCAGGGACACAAATGTAAGAGGTAATGAATGAGGAAAGAGAAAGAAAGAGTAAGATGAATAGGTGAAGGGAATGTGACAGAGAGGGAGAAAGACATTAACCCCGGAAAGGAAAAGTGCAGTAGAGAAAGTGTGTATAGAGGTAGTAATCCCTTCACAGATGGCTTTGTTGCTTGTCTGATGATGATGGAGCAGCCCATATGATGAACTAATGGAGGGGTGTTGTGTGGAGGATTATCCTCCCACTCTCACACCCCTGGAAACTGAGGTCAAGTGGTACAATTCCATTTTCAGTCCATTTAATGCCACAATCACAAGCTCTCTTTTAACAATGTAGCATTTTCCGCGAGGTCTTATCTTTTCAAAAAAACACTCTCTCGCGCACAAATGGCTGGGAGATGTGGGAGGGCCTTGTACCGTGAAGCACATTTACGAACCCTAAATCCATTCTTTTCACTAACAATGTTTAATCTCGCTCTGCTCTCGGTCTCTAGAAAGGCTCTATACAAGATCTTTCACCAAAGAGAACCAATCAATCACAGACTCGCCAGAAGAAAGAAAAAAAAAACCTAGCACGACTAGTAGAATGGTCAAAAGTCTGAAGATCTGAACACTCTCTGAGGTCTGTCAGTTTTCCAAAGTATCTTTTCCTACCCCTAAAATGTTTTAATTTGAAACACTTAACCCAGTTAAGAACGCTTTTATCTGTCTCCAATTAGCAGCTGATTCATTAAATATTGAGGGAGCTATGAAAGATTAAATTTTTAATGTTCATTTGAGGCAGAGACTTGTACAACAACTTCCCCCGGAGCGATGCATGGAGACAGTCTGTGCTCGCCATTGATTACGCTCATCGAGGGGCCGAAATCCACTCCTCTCCTCCCACACAGCCCTCCATCCCATAACCTGTCTGACCTGTTTCAACATCTTTTTTTTTCCTCAGCACAAGCTCTGTGGAGATACTAATGGTTTTCTCCAGACGTGAAACGTGCTACATGACTTAACAAGACCTTTGAGAGTTTGCCAGTCAACTTCATCAACTATCAAAACCCATCCTTTTCACATTTTAATGCACTTTTCTGGTCTTATTGTGAACTGAGCATCTGATTTTCTTTGAAATATGTTCCTCTTTCTCTGAAAGTTTTTTTTTCTGTTGGCAACACTTGAATGTGGGTGAACTTTAGGATGCCAATGGCCAAAAATGTAATGATACTATTAATTTTGAGAAGTAGAAATGTTATTTGCAAGGTTATTTAATTGTATTACTGTAACCGTTGTATTACTGTATTTGATGCATACTATAAATGTTTATTTTGCATTAAGCTGGCCCTTTTTGTGCCAATTGTTCATACACAGTTAAAACATTAATAAACAGATTACTGTATTTTGTTAGTCGTGTTTCCAATTATTTATGCTTTTGATCTGCATTGTGTGTGTCATTTTTGCCTCCACTTTTGATGTACTTGTTGGACAAACAATAAAATGACTTTTATTGACATTTAGTTGTTTTAATAAATGTTTTATCTTAATTGTTCATATGAATTACAGTTTAAAAACAAATACAAAAAAATAAATACATAAATAATAATAATAATATTTTGCAAGCAGTTTTTTTGTTGATGTTATTTTACAAATTTATATACTATTTCTATTACAATACATATCCTAAAAAATAATAATAATACCTATAAATAGTTTCAACATTCAAAATTGTCTGAGCAGAAAACACGACCCCATATTGCAAGAAAGTAAAAATAATCAAAATTATTTAAAAGTTATATGTTGGGTGTATAAACCTACAGACAGGCATTTTACATTAGTTTCAGATTTTGGCAATAATATTTAGTAATATTTGAACTTAATATTTTAACTTTGACAGAAAAAAAGGTTGAAAACTAAAAACTAAAATGAAACACCAAGTAGCAAACTCTGATCGATCAGTTTTCTTTTTCATTCGTATATATCATAATTAATCAATTCCTGACAGAAATAAAAAATTCTACACAATGTTTTTCCATCATGAAATATTCATATTTCAAAATGAATGTTGCTGTGTGATAGTCAAAGAACAAATCAGATGTTGTGTTACAATGTTCAGTTGAATCTTGCATGTGTCAGTCTGTGTGAGAGGGAGAGAAGAAGAGGAGGAGTGGAAGAAAAGAGTGAGGTGACCTGAGAGAGATGTGGTTGGTGGGGTGTGAGTAAACACGTTGACCTTTTCAGATATCAGAGGAACATTTATTTCATATGGATGAGTGACTTTCTCTATCTCTTCTTATATATGACATTATCTACCCAAACCCTTCAATTTCAAGCAACCATTTTGCTTAACCTCTGTTTAAAATGATTATAATTATTTCTCTTTTAGCCAACCATGTTTATCTTTCTGTCTCAGGTCTATTTGTCATCTCTTATACTTCTCTAACATCTATTAGAATGAAGTTTAATAAATACATCTCCATATCCTGATACACATTTATTTCAACATAAATGCTTAACTAGAACTTTTTCTTTTACTTAAATTCTCTTTTCCTTCTCGGGGTAAAGGGAACTCCTGAATCTGTGCCTCACTCAAGGTCTACATTCTTCTTAAAGTGGCTTCTCCTTTCCTGCTGTCCAGACAGCATCCTCAGCACAGGCGAAATTCAGAGGACCTTTGTGTGGGTTTGCAGATTGTGTCACTGCGGGTAAAGCATGAATGCCTTATCTAGGGAGGGCATGCACGCGACCCATAATCGGGAGGCAGCCAGCCGGAAAATGCCCCCCTTGCCTCTCTCAGTTGAGAGTGTCTGTCCAAACCGTTAACTAGACTGCAGCCCAGGCCAAAGTCACCCCTGTCCCAACTTGGTTTAAGTTTGCATGTAAGGTTCCCACACTTTTTGACCTATTTTCATGAATTTTTCCTTTATTTTTTTTAAATGATAGATTGTTGATCGAGAAATCTTACTCAAAAAAAAAAAAAAAAAAAAAAAAAACTTAGCTAAAAATATAATTTCTGGAGCCCTACAAAAAATTCTACTGACCTTAAAAGTATCCTTGATGTTTTTGTTAAGTTTATTCTTGTAAAAGGGGTTCATTATTGATGCTCCGAAGAACTTTTAGCATTCATAAAACTTTTTTTTCGTTCCATAACAGGTTCTTTAGTGTAAAAGGTTTTATATAATTCTAAAATTCACTTCATAAAAAAGAAAAAAGGGGATATTTTAACATCTCTCTATTGAAAAGTTATCGGTTAGACCCAAAATAGTTCCTATATGGCATAACTGCTTAAAATTTCAGAATCTTCATTTCTAAGTCAAAAAAAAAAGTTACTAGTTTTTTTTGGGTATAAAATTCAGTTTGCTCTAGTTTACCACCTGGAAACATAAAATCTGACAAGTTTACCACCTGGAAACATAAGATCTGACATGTAATACATTCTTGTTTTCATATTTAAACAACAAATACAAATAATTAAGTCCTACCCAATTGGTGAAAATTTTATTCTCAATTAGTCTTTATAAGATTTAACTTACTGTAAACTTGCATCTGAGTTCTCAATTGACCACATACCTTCTATTTAAAGTGTTCCAGTAGACTGGCTCCATGTTGGTCGCATCCACTGCTAAACTCTCCATCAGGAAGATTAATAGAAATCCCAAAGCACTGACCCAGTCCGAGAACGCCATGGCCACCCAGGCTCCCCTCGTCTGGATTCCCATGTTCCTCTTATAAGACAAATGAATGGGACCTAATAGAGACAAAAGACTAGTAGAGGGCTGAACTTCACCAGATCCCTCAGCGCTTGAGGAGGTGCTGTGACCGCAACATCCACATCTGAAACACCCGGAGCTCAAATCTCTGAATGTTTGTGGAAGAAATCAGATTCAGAAACATCAACCTCCTTTGTTCCATTCAAAGCAAGCAATGACCTCAAATGAAAGTCGCAAGTATTGTCAGATTTGAGAAGGCACTGCCATATGCTCAATGTATGAATCTGATTCGAGGTGAATTTCAAACAATGTTATGATTGTGGATGTGGTGAAGTTGAAGGTTTTGAAGTGCACGCAGACTGATGCGGGGCGCCAGGTCCACTGCGGGTGATTTTTTAGAAATGTTTCTCCATCAACCGCAGCATTAGCATTTCTATCAAGGATCCCAAGTTGTATTTTGACTCCCGATGAGACACTGAACATCCACCCTGAACAAATAACTCAGTCATTCAGCACACAAAAGTGTCGTCCGTCAGCGTTAGTGCAGGAAACGTTTTCTGAGGTCCAAAATCAAACTTTTCGTTCACCCAAAACATTCACGTAACGTTTTATTCATCCAAAACATTCACGTAAATGTGAGGTCCAGTCCTGCAACAACGGTGAGGATGTCCACCAAGACTTACCCAATGAATTAGAGTTCGACTGGAAAAACAAGAAACACAACCGGTTTGGGGCATTAAAAGAAACAATGTGACAATAATCGATAAGAGTCGATTATAATAGACGCCGAAAGGTAGGAAACAAGAAACGAGGTAGTCCTGTGGTCAACAGAAACAACGCGTGCCGTTCGCTCCGTCCGATTCTCTGCTGCTCTGCAAAGTCTCGAGCTTTGACTCGCGCGCCGGCGGCATTGTTGCCAGATCCCCAGAGAAACAAGCAACCAGGTCTGAAAATACAAGCTTAAACGAAATAGTAATTGACGGCAATTGCGTTGATTTTAAAATGTTTGACGATTATACCATTATCATGTTTAACTGTAAATACAGTAAACAGTTTAATTTAACAGATTAAAACACGTATTTAATAAAGTACATATTTAAAAAGACGCTACAAAAAATATTTGTTGTTGTTTTATTTCATTGAGTGAAATGTGTTGCTTTTTTAATTGCTTATAATAAGCGGACATGGCAACAACTGCTGGTGGTGAGCGCGTTTGATAGCGACTGCCAGAAAGGAGTTTGGATGTTTTGAGAAAAGCTTCTCTCATGAGGATTTTGTTTAGTACTCTCAAATTTAAATGTCACTACAGCTTATCGGGCAACGAATCAAACATATTGGCTGCGGGGTCGGAAGGGTTTGAAGTATTTGAATGAAACAAGGAACCCGCCTCAACTTTAGTCTAGTTGCTCGAGGCGTATCAGGATAGGGTTTGTTTAGTTAAACCTTATGCCTCTAAAAATTGCCTCTAAAGATAGCACAAAAGGGCAAAACTGGTTTGTTAAGGGAATCTACCAGTAAAATCATTGAATACGCCTACAGTTTGATCCTAAAGAACACAAAATTAAAAAGAACACTAATGTCCATCTTACAAAGTTAAATATCAAACATTGAGACCTATAATAATCTAGATTATTGAATCTTTTGCCATGTCACTCAAGCTTCTCTCTTAGGATCTGAAGAAATGTGAACGTACTGCCTCATAGTGGAGAACAGCTGCAAAGCATGTCAAAACTCCCAAATAATGAACAACAGAGGCGGTGATTTGGGGGTCCTAAGCAATTCCAGGTATGGGTCCCAAGCAATGAAACTCGAAAGATTCTCTTTCTCTAGATATTCTTTTCCCTGTAGATTTGTTTTGTAAATAAACTGCGTGTTAAAAATATATCTTAAGAGGAACCCCTGGTTAAAACAACAACAATAAAATCTTAATGGTTAATCCTAAAAGAGAAAAAAGAAGCAAAAATATTAAGATGGGTTGAAGATGATATTCAATTTAAGCCAGTAAAACTAGATTTAAGATTTAAACAGTGGAGTTTGCAAGGTACAACATCCTTCTGTCTCATCACTACTGATAATGAATTAGAAAGTTTTCAACAACTTTTGAATACATATAACTTAGATAAACAAGACCTTTTCAACTACCTTTAAGTTAGAGACTACTTTAGTAAAAACAGGATAGATTCAGAAAAAATTAAAAAACAACAGTAGTGCAGGTATTTATATACTTACAGAAAGGTTAATAAGAAAGTAGTATCAAGAATTTATTCCTGTCATTAACAAAGAAACACTCAACTATATGTATAAAACAGAAATGGGAAAAGGAAGCCAGTAGTTATAACAAAAGATTAGTGGTTTACTATTTGAGAAGCACAGATGAACACAATTATTCAGATTCATGAAGGCAAATTATTTGGAAATATGCATCAGATTCTTTATCTCACCTAAAATAAAATACTTTTAACTAGGGATGAAAAAAGAGGGAATGCTGGAGAAAATGTGGAAATGTATTGGCTTATCATTTCCACATAATTTGGGATTGTTTATACACACCTATTGGCAAGATTTGGGATTAAATCTGGAATGTAATTTTACAACTATACCCGGGAATTTACACTTTATATCTTCTTAATACACTAACAACTAGCAAAAAGGCCATTACAAAGAAATAGCTCAAACAAGATCCTCAATCTGTTGGTGAATGGCATGATATTGTAAAAGAGATATGATATGGAAGTACTGACACTTTCCTTGAGACAACAAGCCTATCAAATTTCTACATACTGGGATAAATGGCTGAGAAATGTTTTAATTGTATTGTGTATGTATGTATATATATATATATATATATATATATATATATATATATATATATATATATATATATATATATATATATATATATATAACTGGAGCCTTTTGATCTTTGATATGTTACCCCTAACAAAATCTTATGTTGCAACATTTTTTCAGCCATAAATACGAATGTAGCCTCCCTTTGATTTTTTTTTCTTTTTTAAATATTTCCAAAATGATGTTTAACAGAGGAAGGAAATCTTCAGCTTGTCTGATATTTTATTCTTCTGGAGAAAGTCTTATTTTGGCTGGAATAAAAGCAGTTTTAGATTTTTAACCTAGTTAAGCCTTTAAATGTCACTTTAAGCTGTTTAGAAGGGTCTTTGAAGTATCTAGTAAAATATTATTTATTGTCATCATGGCAAAGATAAAATAAATCAGTTATTAGAAATAGAAATGTGAAATGAATTGAAAAATGTGTTGTAAAAACTGTTAAAACAGAAATTAGGGAGAAAATGAATAATTCTGACTTTAACTGTATATTTGTCTTAATGGCTATAGACAGATTTTACAACATATGAAAAACAAATTATAAAAGAACGACGATTAATAAAGGTTTCATGGCATTACTCTGGGCCACCTAATTCCTCAGGGCCCTAAGCAGCTGCTTCCCTCAGTAATTGGTTAAGTCTGCCCCGATGAACAAAAATGACAAAATGCAATTTCAACGTTTAAAAATTTTATTTTCTCATTTAACATATTTTGATCTTCTCAAAGTAAAACTATTCCCATGTTCTTTACATACCCATCTAATCATTTAACACAAAATTTAATTGTCAAACTGATAGAGGAAGGTAAACAACCTCTTTTCTTTTTTCTGATTTCAGTATATACCAATATTCATCAACTTTTATCTGTACATTTTAATAATTGCAGATATTCACTTGAACATTAACATACCAACGATACACAGAAAATACTGTGGGAACGTCCCACAGCCTGGTATGATGAGTGAAGTTGATGTAGGGGGAAATCTCCTCAGCCAGGCTCATATTCCTTTAGATGGGGGAGCTGTGTAAATATAGCCTGTGGTGTTTTTCTAATAAGTTTTCATGTTAATGTCAATAAGGGCAGTTCTATTTTGTACAATTAAGGCATGTGAAACACCCAAAATGATAGCCTAAGATGGACAGAACTCAAACAGACCAAAAGGATTTACATTATTTACAGGACATCCTTTCCACATCTCACTTGAGTAAGAGCTGGAAAAAATGTACAAGTGTCCTTTTACAGACGCATACAAAGTCTCTCTCCACACCTAATCAGTCTGCAGGTCTCGTTCTCAAGAGAAAGACAAGAGGAAAAAGTTGTGGCCTCTTGCTTAATCCAACATGAGTCCCAACATGGAGATCTAGGCTATGTCCATCCTCAAAGAACTGGGGGAAAAAAACAAAACAATATTTACCCACAACATTTAGTTAGATTTAAAATGTTTAAGTTTGTACCTATATCCCCTTACCTGCATCTCGACAGTTCAGTGGTTCCACTTGCATCCATAAACGCTGCCATGTGAACAATTGCTGAAATACTCTCTCAAGTTCTCATTGTATCATCAAGCAATAACGACAAGCCAGTGTCCTTGAGATTAAGATCAAGTGAAGTTCTTGAAGAAATGAGGAGTTTGCTTCAGTTCATCTCCTGCTCTCCAAACAATCATCACATCTAAACTCCTTAAAGGGAGTTTCTGAAGAAATATGATTGACAGATGTGAGAATCTGTGGTTTCTCCCCACAGTAATCTTCTAAAAAAAAAAGGCATAAAGGTTTTTTTATAATCAAACATTCAAAATGACCACTTTTTTCCAAATGCTGTAGGATTTTCCTTCATTTGATAGTGTTGCAGAGAGCAATGAGGATTGCAGCTCAGAGAATGCAGAAAACTTCATCCCTTTGGTGTGGATGAAATGGTTCTGCATGTATATTCCCTCCGTCTTGCTCTGTTTTTAGCACTAAATGCAGCTGGTTGCCACTCCATTTCAGATTCTAGGACGACATTCGAGTTAGTGCTGATATCCAACTCTACATGCTTGTTTTTAGTCCTGTTTTTGTCTTTTTTTTTTTTTTTTACAAAAATATAATCCAGTCAGAATCGAGAATGAAATACGCTTGAAGCAGGAATCTTTTTTTTTTTTCTTCTTCTACAGATCAAGTACCAACATTTCCTGATCCTCAGAGTCTCTTCCTTTTCAGAGGATTCAAGTGAATAAACATTTTTGATGCAAACCATCACATATTTCCATCCCAAGACTTGTGTTTTGGGGGAAAAAAATAGATTTTGTCTTTCAAAAACAAAAGAAAAATTACTGCTACACACTGCAGATCCTTGGCTCTCAATGGCCCTGTATCAAGAGCACAGGTAACAAGACATCGCAAAAACAACTGTTCCGTCAAGATGCCATGAGACAAACTTTGAATCTCCGGATGCTGTGAGAAAGTTCTGGAAGAGCACAAGCAGCCGGAGACCATAAGAGTTTGGTACAGGCCATGAGCACCCCAGAATCTGACCTCAAATAATAGGCATATTCCGAATGGTGAGGTGGTGTCCCGTCTCGACACTCTTGCCTTGTTGTTAGATGCACGGTTATACATAGTTTGTTTTGGAATACATTCATTCATAATACAACATCCTCATGAGGCAAATAAAAAAAAAACCTAACAAATAAAAAACATTATCCAAAAAAACACAAGGTAGCAGCCTAGAAAGTGCTCCAACTCATAAAGTTCAAATACTTTGTATAGAAAAATAAAAAAATAAATCATCCATTCTTTTTCAACAGCAACGAAAAAGAAAGTAACAACATACATACAGAATCACAGCGTCCTCTTGACATGTCTCAGTCAACAGAATCCACACATGCACATCAACACTTTCTGGACAGAAGGCAACGGTTCACATCGTGGACAGAAAATGAATGACAGGGGCAGATGCCAAGTATAGTTTGTGTACAAACAGAGAAGCTACATTTATATACCAAACACAAACCCAGATTGCCCTCTTAGAACAGAGCCAAATGGGCCAAAACAGCACCTCAGTCATACTTGGAAACACTGGAGGGTAAAAACGCAATGCTTGACTGTCCTATTGGTCTCTTTAAGAGC